CTATAAGCAAAATTCCATCCAAAAAAAAAAAAAAAGTTATTTTGTTTTAGCAAAAAAAAAAAGAGAGAGAGAGAAAAAATAAGCTCACCTTTCTTCCCTACAGTAATAGCTTATTTAACCACTAAATCACAATTTATTGTGCACACTTAGCACTGTAAATGCTAGGATTAAATCTGAATAAAGAGGGGCCAGCAGGTGGCATAGAGGTTATGGTGCAGGATTCCCACATGGCCAACTGTGGTTCGAATCCTGTACCTAGAGACTTGAAAATTATACTGGGTGTATATGTGCATGCCCCAAGTCCTGAAAGGAGGATAGAGGAGAAGGGATTGTGGCATAGTCATCCCCCTTGGGGGATGATTTCTCACTTTCTCTCTCTCTTCCTCTCTCTTGGGATCGAACATACCCTATAGCAAAAACCTAAATAAATAAATACATGTTGAGTAAAAATAACCTTGGGCTGACCCCATAGCACAGAGGTAAAACACTGTGCATAGGGAACTGGATCCCACATGACTGACTGCAGTTTAAATCCTACCTTGGGGCAGTTTGAAAAACACACCAGACATGTGTGTGCCTGCCCAACTTTCTGACAGGATGAGGAGATAGAGGAGAAAAGAACTGCAGTGACACCATGTCCCATTAGGAATTGTTTTCTCTTCTCTCTCTGACTCTTTTTCTTGAAAGTATGTACCCTTCTGGCAATTAAAAAAAAAAAATAGCCTTATAAATAGGTTTGTTTTCCTAGCAAGGTGACAATAAATAATATTGAATTGAATGCTTACTATATGTCAAGTATTTTACACATGATTTCATTTACTATTTAAAATAGTTCTTTAGTAGTTAATATGGGGAGCGGGGCTAGCAGATGGTGTGGTGGTAAAAGGTACTGGACTCCCACATGTCTAACCACAGCTTGAGTCCTGGACTTGGCGGCTTGCTTTCTCACTCTTTCTCTGTTTCTGGTCAAACTGAAAAAAATACGATAATAAATAAATATAATAATTCTTAAAAAAAAAAAAAGATAGTTAAAGAATTTGGGACTTTGGTGTCCGATAGTCCTGGATTCAAGTGCTAGTTTTGTCACTTACCAACAGTATGACTTTCAGCAAATTTCTTAACTCCTTTAAGCATCAAACTTCTCATCTAGAAAATGAAGATAAAATTGTACCCACCTTAGAGAGAGAGAGCATGAGAATGAAATTAGATAATGAATCTAAAGCATCTAGCATAGTATCTGGCACATATTAAGTGCTCATTGTGTGACTGCAATGAAATAAAATGAAGTTAAGGTTTACCAGCTTGCCCTGTCTGAGTTGCCAAGGGATCTTGGAACTAGATTTTTTATACTGGCAAGTGAATCTCCAAATTAATTCTACTTATGATTTTGTGAACCACTACACTGTATATTTCCCCTACAAAGAAGAAGTTATTTCAGATGTTTATGGAATTACTGTTTTTGCATACATACAAATCCCAGACATCCTATTCAAGTCTGCTATGATTTTGTTTTTTATTTATTTATGTCTTCCATGAGTGAGAAAAACAGGGAGAACAACAAAGAAACAGCACCCTCAGCTGGATCTTGATACTACAGTACACGCCCCATCTCAGCCAGTCCCACACATGGATATGCATGTGCCTTGTATACTCAGGAAGGTCTTTGGATGCGAACCTGGAATCTTCCCTTGTGGGTCAGCCTAACAGAGTTTTATATTTTACTATTATGCCACCTTCTGGCTTCTAGTACATTTTTTTTTTTAATATTGAAGAAGCCATGCAAAAATTCTTTCAAGAATTTTATCATTCGAGCATAGTTTTTCTTAGTTCCCCTTCTTCTCTGTGTCTTACCCTTCGTGAAATGGCCGTATTTTTGTCTTTCATTCTTTCCCTCTTATTCACTCTCAGAGCTCTCATTCTCTTGGTACACTTAAATGGAAAGTAAAATAAAAGTCTACTCAAGGTGGAATTTGACCACCACCATGCATTGATAACTTCTCTCCTAAATCTCCTCCACAACTTTCCTGCCTATGTTTGCTTATTAATGTCAATGAATCTCTATTTGGAGAATTTCAGATATTTTCTTCTTTTACAGTTTTCTCAAATTTTATAAAAAGTACTTCGGGGGACCAGCAGTTAGCGTAATGGCTATGTCGCTGACCTCCCATGTAGTTGCCCGCGGTTCGAGTCCGTGACCCGGTAGCTTAAACTCACACCGGGTGCATGTGCATGCGTGCCCAAGATCCCGAGAGGAGAATGGAGAAAGGATTGCTGCATGGCCATTCCCCCTGGGGGGTGATTTCTCACTTTCTATCTCTTTTTTTGTTGCGCACATGCACCCAATAGCAAAAAAAAAAAAAGCCTCTCCCGCACCCCCCAAAAAAAGTACTTCCGCACATATATAAAGGTTTAGTGGAAAAGTAGAAAAATTCCTACTGTAAGCATGACATTCAAGTTTTCAATTGATAAAAAAAATTGCATTCTATTTCATGACATAGCTATGGTTGTTTTAATGTAAAAACACAAAAGTTTATTACCACTGAATAAAACTTACTTCCTGAAGTATGTGCCACAGTCATGGTATATTCTGGGAAATGCCACCCCTGAGCCTAGCTTCCCGACCCAGTTTGAAAAACCTGACCATTACTTAGTTTTTTCCATCCAGATGTAAGGCTGTTCTTCGAATAAAAGATGCAGATGAGGCCTTCAGCTATCTCCCAAATGAGGTGGGTAGGAAAGAGCAAAAACTTCTTACCCAAGGCTCTATTTATTGCCTGTTCCTCTTTGCGAGGAGTTTGTATTATTCTCACCCAGCTTCATAATTGCCTTAATTTTGGCTGGCCATTAGAATCCAAGAAGAAGGGGGACCAGCAGTTAACGTAATGGCTATGTCGCTGGACTCCCACATAGTGCACCGAGGTTCACGTCCCAGACCCGGTGGCTTAAAACTCATGCTGGGCGCGTGTGCGTGCGTGCCCAAGATCCCGAGAGGAGAATGGAGGAGAAGGGATTGCGGCGCGACCATTCCCCCTGGAGGGTGATTCCTCGCTTTCTGTCTCTCTGTCTCTCTCTGTCTGGCGAGCGCACATGCCCTATAGCAAAAACCTCTCCAAAAAAAAAAAAAAAAAAAATCCAAGAAGAAGGACACAGGGAACGGAGAGGAGCAAAATAGAGAAGAGAAGCAATTATACAATCAATTAATTATAGCTTTCTCTGCCTAATTCGTCATAAGCTAGCATTATACTGTTAAATATTTTAGCCACTACCCACATGCGACTGTTAAACACTTGAAATGTAGCTAGTACAACTGACAAATTCAATTTTTACTTTTATTTAATTTAAACTTAAAAACTGAAGGAGTGTAAAATATTTTTCTTTAACACACTCCTTCATTTTTTAATAGTACATTTTATCTTAACTGTTGAAAAATTAATATCAGAATTGAGATGTATTATAAGAGTAAATACACAACAGATTTTAAAAACTCAGGATATAAAAATGTCATTGATTTTAATACTGATTACATGTTAAAATGATATTTTTTATATATTAGGTTATATAAAATATTAAAATTAATTTCATCTTTTTTTTTTACCATGGCTTTAAAAATTAAAAATTACCTATGTGGCTCACATGTATTGGACAATGCTGCTCTAGCTTCATGACATCCAATTTTATTTTCCATTCCTTCAGCAGGGAAGTTTCTGAGGGTCAGGAAGGAGAATCTGTACCTAGCTCCTTGAACACCATGGGAGGCATGGCTGCCTGGGTCACTGTGAGTTATGGATTCAGAGGTTCTCATTAGGGTCCTAGACCAGTGTCCTGTGTTGCTATTCATTTCTCCACTTACCATTATCCTAGAAGTACTTTAACCGTGAAAGAAATATTAAGTATACTAATTATATGAATGAATCACCACTAAACGAGGTAGGGATTGTGTATATATATTGATGGATTAACTTTGTTTCAGATTTTATTAGATTAAAACATTGTGTATTCTTATACACTTATAATCAGCCACTCAAGTAACATGGTCATATACTCACACTTTAAAAATTAGGCCAATTTATGAAAATTCTTCAAGTCATATATACCATGTATTTCTTCATTAGAATTGTTTTCAACTTTTCAATAAATGCTTATTGAATAAGAAAATTTTGTAATATATCAAGGAATTTACTGATGAGAAGATTTATTTTGTATTTGGGAAGATTTTATATAAGGCTTTGATAATAATTAAGCTCTGAAGATAGTTTGCCTTTTTCTTTAAGAAATCTGATGTGGCATATAACAACCATATGATAAAATAATATCAATTTAAGCAGAATAAAAATTATCAGGAAAAAAGCCCAATACAAATAGTTTATAAACTCAGCATAGTTTATATAATTAACTTTCAAGTTTGCAATTATGTTCTGTAGTCGCCAAAGCAAAATGATACACAGTATCTTATTATTTAGAAAGGGAAAGTATATCGGCTACACAAAAAAACCATAGCTTTCATAGCACTGAATTAAAAAAGCAATTTCTAATGTTCATTGTCACAAATAACATCGTAATAGCAAGTTCAGTAACATTTCACATAACTATATGTAGAAATATTATCCAATTAGTTGTTGCTTTTATAAAAAAAAAAGAATGATTGTGATAAGTAATTATATATTTTATTTTTACAGGAATCTTGGGAGACCAAAATGAGGCACAATCAGATGTGTTGTGAGACACCACCTACTGTTACTGTTCATGTAAAATCAGGGTCAAATAGAACACATCAGCCCAAAAAACCGATTAATCTGAAGCGTCCTATATTCAAAGATAGTTGGCAAGCATCTGAGAAAAATGTACATAGTAACAAATCAAAACGTCCTAAAGGTCCTTGTCTAGTTATACAGCGTCAGGAAATGACTGCTTTCTTTAAATTATTTGGTAGGTTTTAAATACTTTAATAATGATAATTATAAAGTACTTAAAAGTTAGGGTGTAAATATTTTATTATTTTTATATTTGCAAAAAAGGATGCTCATGTTTTTTGTGTTAAATGCCCTATTTCCAGCCAAGTTTGGTTTTGTTTTGCTTAATCTTAATTTTTTTTAACGTTTGATTTTCGTTTTTTTTTTTCTGCTGTTCATGGGTTTTAAAATTCAGGCTCAGGACCAGCAGATGGCATGGTCATTGAGGCTCTAGACTCCCACGTGACTGACGATCGTTTGAGTCCCAGACCTGATGACTTGGTTTCTCACTTTTCCTCTTTTTCTCTTTCTCTGGTGAGCACATGTTGCCCTATAGCAAATTTAAAATAATAATAGTAATAATAATTAATTTAATAAAATAAATCTTTAAAAAAATTTCAGGCTCCTCTAGCTTCTAGTAAATCCTGAGCAATTTATATTCATAGCATGAGTTTTGTTTAACTTAAAATACTACATAAAGAGGCAGGTGAGTTAGCTGACCCAATTTGACTGGACCTGATCTGTTCTCAGGATTCTTACTATTGAAACCAAGCAAATGGGAAAATTGGTCAACCCATAGAAGTTTCAGTATTACATTTTAGGAATATTGTTAAATAGCAACTATTATTATTATCATGTTAACATATTAAAATTGAGTTTGAATTTCTTTACATCATGAGACAGTCTTACTTTGCTGATTAGTTTATTTGTTTTTTTAAATTTGCCAGTGGGTACATGTGCTTGCTGGAAAGAGAGAGAGAGAGAGAGAGAGAAAGTAAGAATCATTCTCCCAGTGGAGAATGGTTATGCCACAGTCCCTTCTGCATTTCTTCCTCCTTTTGAAATTTTGAGCACACACACATGTGTTGAGTGTGTCTCTCACACTGCCAAGTCCTACACTCAAACCACATTCAGCCATGGAGATGTAGCTGTTTTAAACACCATGCCATGGGCTTGCCCACTAATTAGTGCAAAAATAAACCTTATAGTACTGAGGGATTTCTTTTCCTTTTTTTGGAGGCAAATAGTAAAGTAGACAGATTATTAATAGAATAAAGGATAGGATAGATGGATAGGTTCTGGTAAATATCTCTGAATGAATCACATCAAGTGATTCCACAAGATGGTAGAAACAGGTAACAGGCTTCCTTTCATACAGAGGAAGGTCAGGTGCTTAACACAAGCTGGTTGAGATATAAAGAAAAGCAAAATGAAAATATGAGATCCAGACAAAAAGGAATATATATAAGGAATATAAACAGAAGAAATATAAATTACTCCACAGTCAGGATCTAGAATATTAAAACAAGTTTCCATTTCTCTTTATTAAGAGTAGAACACAATTGTTACCCACAGACTTCTCAGTGCCTATAACTGGTCATAACAAGAATGCTCCTGGCTCTACCATTTTTAACTAATTTAAGAAAGAGAAATGAAATTAACAAGGCAGAAATTAATTATTCTAAGAATATCAATAGTTATCTTGAACTTTTCATATATTTGACTGACAGTTATTTCTAGAGTATAAAAATTAATATAATTGTGCTTAGTTATTTAAAATGAAAGGGGGAAATGGGAAAAAGTCAGGTTTTCCAGATTGTATTCTAATAATTATTAATACATTTTGCAGTTATATATTATGGCCCTTTGAAATTGGATTTTTTTTCTTTTTTTTTTTTGGAGAGGTTTTTACTATAGGGTGCATGCACTTGCCAGAAAGACAGAGAGAGACAGACAGAAAGCTAGAAATCACCCCCCGGGGAATTGGCCATGCTACAATCCCTTCTCCTCCATTCTCCTCTCGGGATCTTGGGCACACACGCACATGTGCCCGGCATGAATTTAAGCCACCAGGTCTGGGACTCGAACTGTGGTTGGTTACATGGGAGTTCAGCGACATAGCCATTATGCTAACTGCTGGTCCCAAAACTGGAATTTAATTCCAATTTTTTAAAGAATTATTTTGTTTAACTTTATTTATTTATCTTAATTTGATCAGAGAGGGACAGAATGATAGAGAGGAAAAGTGAGAAAGCAAGCCACCAGCTGCAGGACTCAAACCAGTTAGCCATGTGGGAGTCCAGTGCCCTTAACCACCATGCCAGCCGGTGACCCTTAAATTCCAATTTTTGACCTACTTTTGGATTTGTTGTTATTTTCAGATTTTTTTCTATAGAGCACGTGTGCTCACCAGAAAGAGACAGAGAGGGAAAGTGAGAAATTATTCCCCCCGCCCAAGGGGATATGGCCATGCCACAGTCCCTTCTCCTCCATTCTTCTCTCAGGATTTTGGATACACACATACATATGCGTGGTGTGGTTTTTAAGCCATTGGGTTTGGGACTCAAACCATAGAGTCAGCCATCGGGGATCCAGGACCTTAACACTACCTTACAGCCTAATCACTACCTGCTAGCCCCTGGATTTATTTTTATTTTTATTATTTTGAGAGATTATTGCTATAGGGTATGTGTGCTCACTAGAAAGACAGAGAGAGACAAAGGGAGAAATCACCCCCAGGGGGGTGGCCATGCTGCAATCCCTTCTCTATTCTGTTGTGATTTGGGGCATGTGTGCACACATGCCTGGTGTGAATTTCAGGCCACCAGGTCTGGGACTCAAACTGCACATGAGAGTCCAGTGCCTTAACCTCTGTATCAGCTGCTGGCCCCTGAATTTATTATTTTTAAACAGTATTTTTGTGTTTTTTTAATTTTGTCCTAATAACTCAGTTTTTCTAAAACTAAAAGTTATATGGAAATAACTAATGAATTGTGATCCTTTTTTTGTTTTTTAATTGTCAGATGACACATGTACTTGCCAGAGAGAGAAACAGAAAAACAAGGAGTGCGAATATACCCCTCAATGTGTCAAGCTCACACCATAATCCCTTCTACATTTGTTAATCCTGTTGGAGTTTGGGGTGCCCACACATACATGCCTGGCATTTTTTTCAAGTGTCCAGGGTCAGATTTCAAACCCTGGTTAGTCATGTGGAATCCAGCTCTCTTAACCACTAAGCTACAGTGCCAGTCCTATGATCCTTTTTCTTATGTTTTTGAATATTATATAAGTGGAATAGAGATAAATACAGAAGAATTCAAAACTAAAAATACCCTGGAATCTTAACAGGAAAAAGTAAAGCATATTTAGAAAACACAATATTCATTGAGTCATTATTTCTTAAAAGACAGAACTGTCTTTTATCAGATTAATTTCCATGTGTTGATTCTGGAAAGGAATGAAGAGTTACTCTAGAGTTGCCCAAGACATATTTCTCAAAGTGCAATAGGATATTCACTTATAACAAGCACTTAGACCATTCTTTCTGTAATCCGAGCTATGTATTAAAGCAAATTAGATGAAAAGATGAAGGATAAGGCAATAGCTTTGTGTATAGTCTGTGCAATGGTAAATACACCAAAGAACTGAAAACGACACCTTATACAACACTAGTTCAGCCATTTTTGTTCTATTTTTAAGAATCATTAATCTCCTGATATAGAAATTAATTCTTCAAAAGGAAATGTTTTTATCTTTAAAAGACAAGTCATAGCTATCTTTTGTTGTAGATGACGATTTAATTCAAGATTTCTTGTGGATGGACTGCTGCTATAAAATTGCAGACAAGGTAAATTTGGTAACAGTATAATCATTAAATAGCATTATTATGTTGCTAGACTGTCAGAACTTTAATGAGGCCTTGTAAGAACTTTCTATCTTATAAGGTTAGGGAACGAGGGAGGCTGCATTTCTCTTCGAAGTGGAAAATTCTTACACATTAACTTTTTTTTTTTTAGTTTACTATAAGGCATATGCACTTGCCAGAGTGAGATCAAGTTGGGGGAAAGAGAGAAAGTGCACACTCCCTGTGAAGGGAGGATGACTGTGCCCAAATCCCTTCTCCTGCACTCTCTTCTTGGGATTTTGGACACACATGCACATATGTCTGTTGTGTTTTTTAAGCCACTAGGTCCAGGACTCGAACCACAGAAGTAGGCCATGTGAGATCCTGCTGCTTTAACTACCATCCCACCTGACTAGCCCTTAATTTTTGGAAATAGCATACAGAATAGATTCAGATTATACTTGGAGAATTGCAGAATATTATTAAGTATGTCACTTAAACATACTTAATAATATCTGTCCCTACCTGTTGATTAAAAACAAAAATCAGGGGATGAGTAGATGGCATAATGAATGGTTAAATCACTGGGTTGCCATGTAGTTGACCACTGTTCAAATCCCAGACCCAGAAGTTTAAAATTCACTCGTGGTGTGTGTGTGCGTGCGTACCCAAGATCTCAAGAGGAGACTGGAGGAGAGGGGGTTGCAGCATGGCCATCCTCTGTGAGGGGTGATTTCTCGCTTTCTCCCTGTCTCTGTCTCTCTGGTGAGTGCACACACTATATAGCAAAAATCTCTCAAAAATTAAAGTCAGTATGGACTTAATACATATCAGTCAGAATTATTGCCTTTTGTCAAGCTGTGGGGAAAAATATTCTTAGATTCACTCTGCTAAGCCAGCCTGTTATACATTTTAATATTTTGTAAATAATTCAGATAAATTCTAATAATTTTAAAGGGTAAATTAGCTTAGCATGCTTTTTATTTGTTGTAAGAATCAATAGTTCATTAAAGAATATTTGGCTTACACACCAGAAACAGTGATGTCTCTATGTTCTTTAGATTTAGCTGCATAGTTATAGTTTCAGCTTTATAGATGCCATTTTAGACTATGCAGTCATATTGGAAAATTTGGCATGGGCCAGCAGGTAGTATGGAGGTTGAAGTACTGGATCCCACATGGCCAATTCCAGGGTATGAGTTCCAGACCCAATCATGCTAGGCACAGGTGCATGAGTACCCAAAATTCCAAGAGAATGGAGGAATAGGGATTTCAGTGTGGTCACCCCTCAGGGGATGAGTTCTCACTTTCCCTCTTCCTCTCTCTCTAGCAAGCTCATGCACCTTATAGCAAAAACTAAAACTAAATAAATAAAAAGATGATTAAAAAAATTTTGACATAACTTCATGTTACACTTAAAGTTCCAGCAACACAAAAGCGGATGAATGGAAGATTAAATATTAAAGACTAAATACCCACTATATTGTTATTATTATTTTAATTGCCAGAGGTTATGTGCTTGCTGGTAAGAATGAAAGCAACCACAGTCTTTCTGTCTTCATTCCTCCCTCCTGTGAGGATTTTGATCATGCACACACAGGCACTGGATGTGTCCCTTAAGTCTTCAGGGCTAGGACAGCCATGTGGGATCCAACTCCTTACCAACTGAGCTACATGGCCAGCTCCCCACTACATTAGTATTAATGTAAATATTTTTACTTAAAGCTTCAGATAACAAAGATAAAATAGAAGGGTTTTTGTTTGTTTTCATTTTGGAAAACTTCAAACATAAACAACTTCAAATAGAATAAAACAAGGAACTTTCCTGTGCCTGTCATCAACTCATGACCATTCTGGTTTCTTCTAACTCCCCTTCTCAAGTACTGGATTATTTCTAACTAAACCCAAGGCATCCTAACACTTTGTTCATAAATATTTCAAGATGTATCTCTAAAAGATAAAAGAAATTTTTAGCCAGCCCCATAGCCTACTGCTTAAGGCAGCTGGATCCCACATGGCTGACTGGTTTGAATCCCAGCCCAGTGGTTTGAAATACAAGCCAGGTGCATATGTTTGCACATTCAGAATCCTGACAAGATGGAGAAATGGAAAAGAAGGGATTGTGACATGACCACACTCAATTGGAGAATGCTTTCTCTCTGTGTGTGTCTCTGGCAATTAAACAAAGTTTCAGGCCTTCCCCATAGCACAGTGATTAGGGGAGCCAGATCCCACATGGCCAACCACATTTTGAATCCCAACGTGGTCATAGCAGCTCAAAAAAAAAAAAAAAAAAAAAAAACATGATGGGT